GTTTTGACTTTGAATCACATAATTTCAAAATTTCCTCATTGGCCTTAAAACTTGGACACACTATAAAATAATGTGCATTGATTGTTAAAAGCTAATGCACTAGAAAAGAATGACAGAGATATGGCGGCAACTGTGGACAATTTTTATACGCCCACATTGAAATGTGGTTGTATATTGTCGTCGCCCCCGGCCGTCCCTCCATCCGTCGGTCTGGCGTCCACAATTGCTTGTGGACGCTCTAGAGGCTAAAGTTAATATCCGATTGAATTTAAATTTATACACTGTGTTTAAGGTCATGAAACGAAGAAGCCCATTGATTCTCAGCGATTTACGATAATTACTGCCAGAGTTATGGCCCTTGATCACTTTGATAAATCTTGTGGACGCTCTAGAGGCTAAAGTTAATATCCGATTGACTTTAAATTTATTCACAGTGTTTAAGGTCATGAGACGAGGAAGCCTATTGATTTTCAGCAGTTTCCGACAATTACTGCCAGAGTTATGGCCCTTTATCACTTCAAAAAATGTTGTGGACGCTCTTGAGGCCAAAGTTAATATCCGATTGACTTTAAATTTATACACAGTGTTTAAGGTCATGAGACGAAGAAGCCTATTGATTTTCAGCAGTTTCCGATAATTACTGCCAGAGTTATGGTACTTGATCACTTCAAAATATCTTGTGGATGCTCTAGAGGACAAAGTTAATATACGATTGACTTTTAATTTATACAGCGTTTAAGGTCTTGAGACAAACAAGTATATTGATTTTCAATGAATTTTGATACAGCTAAATCCATGATATTAAATGTTTTGTATACTAAACGTTAGCATGGGGCAGAACTTTATAAAAATCAAACAAATTCTAATGATTTTCTGATAATTACTTCATGAGTTGTTACTCTTAATCAGATTTTAGTTTATTATAAATTTTTCATCACCGAAAAAAAGTAAAAATATGTGACAACTCTTGTTGACTGCCTAGACGATTTAGCTGCTGTGGGCGTATGTTTCGTTGCCTGACAACCTATCTTTACAAGTTATGTGAAATGAAATGGGAGATAGAGATTTCGACACATGCCCACAGAACTCTTTATCAAGCTAAAAGAAACAATCCTGATATGCTTCCTTCAAGTACGGATGTGGTTATACTGTCTCAATATTTGGATACAGGGGGGGGGGGGGGGTATCCAAGATGAAGACTGAGGATTTCCATAAAAAACAAATCACCAATGTTGGAAATACCATCCACTTAAGTGAAATAGAAAAGCATTTGTGCAAGATTTTTGAAGTTATGGAAGTAGTTGGGAAACGAGGTGGAACAGTTCCTGTTTTATTAACAACTCAAATGATAGAATGGATATCTCTTCTGTTAGATAAAAGATCTGAACTTGAAACTCCCGCAAAAAAAACAAGTTTTTGTTTCCTCGATCCAGTTATCAAAGCCTTGGACACATAAGGGGCAGTGACACGATGAGAAAGCATGCTCTGTTGGCCGAAGTTAAGAACCCTGAAACCATGAGATCAACTAAGTTACGTAAGCAAGTAGCAACAGTGGCACAGATGCCGGCATTAAAAGAAAACCAGATTGAGCTTTCTTGCTAATTACATGGGCCATGATGTGAGTGTTCATCGGGAATATTATCAACTCCCAGACAATGTTTTTTGTGTTACCAAGCTTTCGCGTTTGTTTATTGAGATGGAGTAGGGTATGCTTGAAAAATATCAAGGGCGATCACTTGATGAGCTTGGAATAGACTGTCGACATAGAAGAAAATGATATTATTAGTTCAGATGAAGAATCCAATAATGATGTAGAAATCCCACAGACAAAAGCTGCTACCAATCCAGCAAACACTAAGGCCAAGAAACCTGAAATATCCGATAATTGAACTATTGCTATGACATCAAAATTTCCGATAAAGAAAACCGTTTGGTATGAGGATGAAATTATTGCTATTAATTCCTTAAAAAATATCCTACATATTCGTATACCTGGGAAGAAGGACATAGAAGAGGTCCAAAAAAGACACCCCGTACTGAAGTGGAGATGTTGGAGGAATATTAAAGATTATTGTAGAAATAACAAAACTAAGATCTTGAAAGCACGATAATAAACCGAGTCACTAATGAAAGGTGTAAGTTTATCTGTGACAGCTAAGACAGAACTTCACCAGTTAGTGATAACTTGACTTTTAGTTTACAGGAAACTGTTATCTCAAAGTAGCTCACCAATTAGTGATAAGTGAATTTTTAGTGAACTTTAACCATTTAGTGATAACTTGACTTTTAGTTTATAGAATGACTAACTATTACTTAAGGCATTTAGACAAGACTTATTTAGAGAAACGATAGCCTTTACAATTTATTATACCAATCATGGTTACATGAAAAATAAATTTAAAAAAAACAACCTGTAAACACTGTTAGTTGTTTAGTTAAAGGAGCTAAATCGCTAATGTTTGGGACCTAAAAATTGACACAAATGGGTCGCACCGCATATAATAATGTAATATGAATGTATATAAACTGATTTACGTTCAATCGTTTCCATTTTTACTCTAATGTTCGGCGAAATAATCCAGAGGTCCCAATCGAATCGCAGTCACTAGCGTCTGGTTATTCCAGTCTACACTGATAGTATTTATTGCTCATACTCTCCAGATAAGAATATGGGGTCACCGTTTGACATGTCTCGTGGAATATATCTAGCCTCGTTTTTCGAGTCCCATGTTACAAATGGCACCGAAACGCATTATGGTACACGATTCGTGTACCAAAGGTAAAATGTTGATTTTGTCTTCAATATTGGATATCAGAAACCCATCTTTTCCCGATAAGATAACAACACCAATGTTGATCTAAATTGACATGTTGATATAAAATGGAATGATCTAGCAGATTTAGCTGCCAAAGCTGCTTTGGATCTTCCCCTATCAACATTTTTAATACCATACAACGATTTTAAACATTGCATTGATCATTGCATTCATGGCCGCTGGCAACGGTCTTGAGATCTTGCGGGTACAAGTAAACTTCATCACATAAAGCCTCTCCTTGGAGATTGGCCAAGCTCCTACAGGTCTAACAGGAGAGATAAAGTTGTTTGTGTCGCTCTCGCATAGGTCATACTTTTTTAACACATATTTGTCCCCTGCTTTCTTCGAAAGGCGGGGGGAAAAAATAAAATGGGTGTGTCCGTCCGTCACACTTTTTGGGACACAATAACTCTCCTTCTAATTGACCTAGAATGTTCAAACTTGGTGTAGGTATTTATTAGGTCATTTCCTTGATGGATTTCGAAAATGAGCATTTTCTGCTTAGGGTAAGCAGAGATAAACAATTTGATTGGTTGATGCTTTGGGACACGTAACTTTAGTTCTAATTAAGTGAGAGTGATGTAAATTGGTGAATAGTTTCCTTACATCAATACCTTGACAAAGTTCGATAATGAGCATTTTCTGCTCAGGGTAAGCAGAGTGATAAGCAATTTAATTGGCCGAGTCTTTGGAACGCAATAACTCTCCTTCTAATGGAGCTCAAATGTTCAAACTTGGTGTAGGTGTTTATTAGGTCAATGCCTTGATGGAGTATGAAGAGGAGCATTTTCTGCTTATGGTAAGTATAGATAAGCAATTTGATTGGTTGATGCTTTGGGACACGATAACTTTAGTTCTTATTAAGTGAGAGTGATGAAACTTGGTGTATAGTTTCATTACATTAATACCTTGACTAAGTTCGATGATGAGAATTGTCTGCTTAGGCTAAGGAGTAATGAGCATTTTGATTGGTCAAGACTTTGGAACATAACAACTCTGCTTCTAATTGAGGTACAATGTTTAAACTTGATGTAGATGTTCATCTTGACTGAGTTCAATGATTAATATATTGAGCTAAAGCTAAGCAGAGATAAGCAATTTCCTTGGTCGATGCTTTGGGACAAGATAACTTTGATTCTATCTGATAGAGAGTGATGAAACTTAATGTATAGTTGATAATCAGTTTGATTGCTCGATACTTTTGAAAAAAAATAGATGTGCGATTAATTAATATGTGTCATCTATTTATTTGGGGATTTCTGCGGGGGACATCAGCCTCACTGTTAGCTTGTTTCATCTTAAAGCGAGAGCTTCAACCAGAATGTGAACACTGTCATATTCCTTTGACAGTTAACCACATTATGATTGAGTGCAAGCATCTCAAAGATAACAGTATTACCGTTGCCAATCACTACATCAGTTGTTTGCCCAACCAGGTCTGTATTGTAAAGTGCTAGACAAATTTTTGTCGAAAATTTTAATTGTACAGTATATATCTGTTTTTCTCTTTCATGTTTTGAATATATATACATAAAGTTTATATTTATTTTTATTTGATATTTACTGTAATATTTGTTTTTATAAGCCCACATTGAAATGTGGTGGTATATTGTTGTCGCCCCCATCTGTCCTTCCGGGGTGGACGCGCTAGAGGTTAAAGTTAATATCCGATTGACTTTAAATTTATACACAGTGTTTATTAAGGTAATGAGATGAAGAATCCTATTGATTCCCGATAATTACTGCCAGAGTTATGGCCCTTGATCACTTTGAAAAATATTGTGGATGCTCTAGAGGATAAAGTTAATATCTTATTGACTTTAAATGTATACATTTTGTTTAAGGTAATGAGACGAAAAAGCCTATTGATTTCCGATAATTACTGCCAGAGATATGGCCCTTGATCACTTAAAAAAATCTTGTGGACGCTCTAGAGGTCAAAGTCATGAGACGAAGAAGCCTGTTGATTTTCAGCGATTTCCGATAATTACTGCCAGAGTTATGGCCCTTGATCACTTCAAAAAATCTTGTGTATGCTCTAGAGGCCAAAGTTAAAATATCTGTGGGTCTATGTTTCATTGCCTGGCATTCTATCTTTATTTATGTATATATATATATAAATATTGTGATTATTCGTTTCTAGTTTGTCTTGAGAAACCCCACTATATGTTTGGCGCAATATAGCCTGGTTGGAGCTGATATGCCATTTAACAACTTTTCATTAATTTCATTCATTCATTCTAGGGCTCAAAAACCCATAGTTTCGTTCATATTGAACTCTTGACTGATTTGACTCATGTGGCGGGCGTATTTATTTATACTGTTCCGAAACCCTGGTGGGGTTTCCATGGTTACTAATTGACAGGGTTACCATGGTTGGCCTCTTGGCAGGGTTTACGAATTTGTTACCAGGGTCGGTAGCTCGCTTACCGGAGTTTTGGATTAGTATAAATAAAAACGCTTGCCACGAGAGATAGGTAGAATGAAACTGGTTCAGAGCCGATCTGGTTGATAAGAAGCCGCTCATTCAACATAGACACATAACCGAAGGTGAACAGACCTACCCGTCCAGTTAATACAAAGGACAATCTCACCTCGGTCCACAAAAGAGACACATACCAGTCGCCTCCTGTAGCACCATGAGCCTTCTGTCTGACGTGGAGAGCGTCTATGGGAAACCGGTCGCCACATCCTACGTATGACCCATGCATCTTTTCTTACTACATATTTCTGTAGCCTTGTGATCGGCTAGGATTTGTCTCTAGCTGTCTTTACTTCTGCTTCACGTTGTGTATTTACTTCTTCTAGTTTCTTAAGACGTTTGTCTTACCAGGAATAATAATGCATAGTTCGCTTCTACATTTTATATAGCATATAACTGAATACAGGTATACAAGCATAGCACAAATTACAATACAATATAGCATAGCTAAAACCACTTCTCCACCCTATCCAGCCTCTCGGCTGTCTAGGAACTCAGATGTACCCTCGATCTCTGGAATCTAATGGAAGTCTGACTTACAGGGTTCCCCGGTTTCTTTTAAAGGTATATAAATATCATGCACCATAAAGCGTGATCATGGCCCTGAACTTGTGTAATTAACAAAATGATTGGTTACTTTAAGCTAAATGATGCAATTAGAATAATTCCACTATAAGTGCTGCATAGTATCTACCGTTAATTGTTTGACCCTTTTGGAGGTAATCCACCATGAGAACACCCTCAGAATCCCATAATACTGAGGCCATCACCTCTCCTGCCGATGAAACAATCTTTGCCTTCTTTGGGGTCGGCGACTATTTTGACTGCTCTTTTGTTTCTGGCTGAAAGTGGTGTACCCAAGTTTCATCCATAGTAACAATTTGTTTTAGGAAACTGTCAGGATCGGTTTCAAATAAGGCTAGATTCTCTTCTGACATGATGTGTCTTGAACGCTTTTGATCAGGCGTCAAAAGCTTTGGCACCCATCGTGCTGAAACCTTTGTCATTTCCAAAGTTTCAGTGATAATAGAATGAACTCTCTCCTGGCTAATACCAATTACCCTAGCGCCAAAAGTTATCATCCAATTCTTTTGAAATTGATATACGTTGTTTACATTAGTGAAATGAAGAAGCCTATTTAATTTCAATAATTTCCGTTTATAACGTCTAGAGTTATGGCCCCTGTTTCACTTTGTTGAACTTTGTGAACACTCTAATGCCAAAAGTTAACATCCGATCTTTGTGAAATTTATATGCAATATTTAAATTAGGGAAACGATGAAGCTTATTGAATTTCAGCAATTTCCGTTTATTACTTCTAGAGTTATGGCCCTTGTTTCACTTTGTTTAACCTTGTGAATGCTCTAACCCCAAAAGTTATCATCCTGTCTTTCTGAAATTTATATGCATTATTTAAATTAGTGAAACGAAGAAGCCTATTGAATTTCAGCAATTTCTGTGTATTACATCTAGAGTTATGGCCCTTATTTCACTTTATTTAACCTTGTGAACGCTCTTAACGCCAAAAGTTATCATCCGATCTTTCTGAAATTTATATGCATTATTTAAATAAGTGAAACGAAGAAGCTTATTGAATTTCAGCAATTTCTGTTTAGAGTTATGGCCCTTGTTTAATTTTATTGAACTTTGTGAATGCTCTCTAACATCAAAAGTTATCTGTCGATCTGTATGAAATTTACATGAGTCATTTAAATTAATAAAGAAAAGAATCCTGTTGTATTTCAGCAATTTCCGTTTATTACATCTAGAGTTATGGCCCTTGTTTCACTTTGTTAAACCTTGTTGATGCTCGATTGATGAAAGTTATCCGATATGTATGAAATTTATATGCATCATTTAAATTTGTGAAACAAAAAAGTCTGTCAAATTTCAACAATTTCTGTAGATTACTTCCAGATTGAGACCCTTGTTTCAATTTGTAGAATCTTGTGAACCCTCAAACGGCAAAAATTATGATCTGATCTGTATGAAACTATCTTGTAAAGGCCCCCAGTTACCTACAAAGGAATAAATATGCGACAACCCTTGTCGACGGCTTGGACGATTTAGCCGCTGTGGGCGTATGTTTCGTTGCCTGGCAACCTATCTTTATTTTTGTTTAACATTTTATATAATTGAAGTTTTGTAATTTTAACCAAAATACTCGTTGGATTCTTTTGTGACTACCAGTAGGGTGACCCATGCACTCTACAGAAATACAGTCCACCGCTGATAGTTCGAGACTACCACTGAAGCGTGCACATTCGCCATGTCGAGACCAACTTTCTGACAGTATGATACTATAAATAGCCATGGCACGTGCAATTCTCTACAAATCTATCAACTATTACAGCCGTAAAAAATTTATTGTTGATGATTTTGAATAGCAGTAAAATTAAGCTTCTTGGTTATTACAGCAGATTTAGAAATTACGTTCGTTTCATTTTTTAAATCGCTTTATCATTAACTGTACCGTTAAGAGCGGCATCTTTTGGTTTAGTACAAATAATATCTCTGAAACACTCAGGTTAGACAGGAACATGATACTAGCAGTAGTTTCATTTTACTTTTACAAGCTTCTTAAAACAATTGTTGAGCTACCTAACGTCCTTATTTCTAAATTCAATTTCTTGTTCTAGCTTTCTGTTATGTTTCGTAAAAAAGTAGTCTTGATTATCCCGACCTGTCAATCAGACGTAGAATGGTCGATAGACTGGTTAAGCGAGACTAATTTCAAAACAAGGGCACGTAACCTATCTTTTACTCAAAAGTGTCTGGATGTTATGGACGACACTTGGAACCAGTTTTCAGTCTATTATTTATAGATGATTAATGGTCATAGCTTATTAAGTACAATAGGGACTATGTTTTTTTATTGTACCGACTTTAGTAATGAAGATCGAGGCTAGGTTTCGAATCCCCGGTTGTACGTCGCAAGAAGTAGGGTCGCCTGTCCAACCTTGTGGGTTTTCTCCGGGTCCTCCGGTTTCCTCCCACTGCTAAAGACCCCTATGCGCAAGCAAATATTTGAAATAAAATCAAACCATATGTTAGTCCCGAAATGACCTAGTTTGTGTCGTGGACGTTAAACCCCATTTCTCTCTCTCTCTCCTAAAATACAAATGCTAATATCACGGTTCAGAGTGGAGCAATTCGACTGAAATTTCCAGCATATTCTATTCATGTTATCTTTTTTTAACTATTATTGTGACAACTGCCAGTTCTTTATCTAATCTCCCATAATGCCCCTTTAAGATTTTTTTTTTCTAAATTTTTCTCTGTCACGAACTTTTGAGGTAGCCTAATACAGACCTACTGTAGAAGTTGATATCTCTTCAACATTCAAGGATGCAATAATATAAGATGGACGAGAGCTGATCATGTCAGTATCATCTGTAGACTTGGAGCATTTTGGTGGTGATATACTAAAATAATCTGACATTCTTCTATCGGACGTTGACGAAGGCTGTTCAATTTTTCGCTTACGACCCTTGACATGTGATTTGATGATAACTGACTTGCAACAACCCAAAGAATATACAGTGGACTCTGTCACCTCCGACATCGTACGGGATCGTTACTGCGTTTCGGAATACCAAGCTTTCTCCAAAACCGGAAATACTGTAACTTCGAAAACCGGAAGTAGTTTTATATTGTAGCTTCGAAAATTTTATTACATTAAATAATTAACAATAACAATGCATGCGTATAATATATTCATAAAATCATTTACATGTAATATCAATGCATGCTCACAATATATTTATAAATATCAATGCATGTTAACGTTTAAAGTAGTTTGCTTAAGATTACCGGAAGCATATCGTAAGGCGGAGTCCTGGACAACATCTTCTAACAAATGAATTGTTGCGATCATCTTTTCGTCCTTAATCTGTGCGAAGTGTTTAATGTCGTTGAGCATGCGTAGGCATTTTGAATAGGTCAAGTCTGTCGTTAATGTATATGCTTCATCGTCACCGTCTTCAGTCAATTGTCCACTCTGTTAGGCTGACCTTAAAAATATCTTTGTTTCGCCTAACCCGACCGACTAACTAAAACCACCCCCGACTTAAATTATTTTATTGCACTTTTCCACGATCTTTTTGTCCCCCGCCTTTCGAAGAAAGCAGGGGACTATTAAAATGGGTTCGTCCGTCTGTCTGTCTGTCCGTCTGTCCGTCCGTCTGTCTGTCCGTCACACTTTTTGGGACACAATAACTCTCTTCCTAATTGAGCTAGAATGTTCAAACTTGGTGTATGTGTTTATTAGGTCAATGCCTTGATGGAGTTCGAAGATGAGCATTTTCCGCTTAGGGTAAGCAGAGATAAGCAATTTGATTGGTTGATGCTTTGGGACACGATAACTCTCTTCCTAATTGGGCTAGAATGTTCAAACTTGGTGTATGTGTTGATTAGGTCAATGCCTTGATGGAGTTCGAAGATGAGCATTTTCCGCTTAGGGTAAGCAGAGATAAGCAATTTGATTGGTTGATGCTTTGGGACACGATAACTTTTAATTGAGCTAGAATGTTCAAACTTGGTGTATGTGTTTATTAGGTCAATGCCTTGATGGAGTTCGAAGATGAGCATTTTCCGCTTAGGGTAAGCAGAGATAAGCAATTTGATTGGTTGATACTTTGGGGCACGATAACTCTCTTCCTAATTGAGCTAGAATGTTCAAACTTGGTGTATGTGTTGATTAGGTCAATGCCTTGATGGAGTTCGAAGATGAGCATTTTCCGCTTAGGGTAAGCAGAGATAAGCAATTTGATTGGTTGATGCTTTGGGACACGATAACTTTAGTTCTAATTAAGTGAGATTGATGAAACTTGGTGTATAGATTTATTATATGAATACCTTAACTAAGTTCGATAATGAACATTTTTTGCTGAGGGTAAGCAGAGTGATAAGCAATTTGATTGGTAGAAACTTTGGAACACAATAACTCTCCTTCTAATTGAGGTAGAATGTTCAAACTTGGCATAGGTGTCTATTAGGTGAATGTTTAAACTTGATGTATATGTAGATGTTCATTAGGTGAATGTCTTGATTCTATCTGATAGAGAGTGATGAAACTTAGTGAAAAAAATAAATGTGCGATTAATTAATATGTGTCATCTATTTATTTTGCAATTTCGGCGGGGGACATCAGCCTCACTGTTGGCTTGTTATTTTATTTTGTGTGTCAACCTGAAATATATCACGAGAGTTATTTCCCTTTACTATGGCTATGGATTGATTCATTATTGAAACTGGTTGATCAAGACGAAAGCGTCATAGGTGTCGCTTCTCAACAAAATGGTTGCAGACGAATACACGTCCATTCCCACGAAATGATTCTGCTTCTATGTCTGTGGTGCGTAGTTTTAAACATGACGACGATATTTTCAATATCCGTTTTCGAGAAAAATGAAGGCACAACCCTTGTTGAAGGAGTTTCACACTTCAAGTTCGTGGCAAATCGTGTGCGAGTCGGGCATCACGAAAAATTCCCGATGTCATTCACTCATTGATTTTTTTGCCAATTGAATAAAGAAGACGAATGTTTCCACCCGGAAAATTATTAAGCTGTCAAATTAGCTCTTAAGTTTAATAAAAAAAACTTTCAGTTCGTTACTTTTTACGTCAGACCCCAAATTCATTAAACAAAATTAATGAATCTGTAGTATACAGCTAGGCTAATAAGTTTTCTGTATTGATTTCTCTAACTTTAAAAAAAAAATCTGAAAAAAAAAACCGACCTACCGACCCTTCTCCTCGATTGTGGGTCGGGTTTGGTGAAACAAAGATATTTTTAAGGTCAGCCTTACGTGTTCATTTATAATCTGTCGTTCTATGTCCAGTTTTTCAAACCAATCAGAGTAAATGGAACCTGTCATCCAGGGGGCAACTGTAAAAAAAAATGCAAACAGCAACTGGGGGGTGGGGTGGGTCTGTCAGCCGAAAAAGGTGCATGAAAAAGTGCATTTCCGGGTAAGAAAATTGGGTGGTCTAACTGAGTTCTGCAAGAAAAAAAGCATTTCCGGGTAAGAAAATTGGGTGGTCTAACTGAGTTCTGCGAGAAAAAAAGCATTTCCGGGTAAGAAAATTGGGTGGTCTAACAGAGTTCTGCAAGAAAAAAAGCATTTCCGGGTAAGAAAATTGGGTGGTCTAACAGAGTTCTGAAAGAAAAAAAGCATTTCTGGGTAAGAAAATTAGGAGGTCTAATGGGTCCCTGCAAGAAAATTGCATGAAACGGGATACGAAGTGTTTCAGTTCATATCAATAACAACTCCATCAAAATTGAATCGTATTTCCGTTTTACCGAGGTGTGTCGAATTAGTGGTCGAATCCAAGCGAAGATAAATTCAATTTTAAAATGCTTGATGAGTCTTGGGTCGCTGGTAAATAAATTATGAAAGAAAATGCTATTCGAATATTTCAAATAAAATATTTTTAACGTCTGAAGATTTTTAAAAAGATTAGTAAATTAGCCTTAGTGTGGCCTTTTTGACCGGTAGTGCCAGTCGTGAATGAATTAGTTACGGTCTGTTAACCGAGACTACACAGGGATAACTCTTGGCAACAACCGGCGACAATGATGGCTACACTTTCGAAGTTTTGATAACTTTAACATGGGTGAGTTTTTAGCCTTTATTATTTTATTTGCAGACTGTCAACACAATTTTATTGCTAGTTCTTGTTCAGAGAAGAGCAGTTCTTGCATACACCCCTCAGAATACCCTATAAAACTATGTGATGCCTAGGATTCAAGTGGTTGCGATGTGTCACGGTCCATGTATATCGTTCTGACGTGTTGTCAATCATTGTCATTGTCAATTTTTGCATAATTTCCCGTTATCCTAGGCCCAAATCAGCTGCTATTTCACCTCCCCTAGTGACTATATTTTCAAACAATTTATTTCATGAGACTAATGACTCATTATCAGGCGGATCATGTTATTCAGAATTTGGGCAAACTTTGATTTAAATTGTCCACTTTAAAGTAAACACTGCAGAGACTCCCAGAGTACAAAAAAACAAAACAAAATTGTCCACACTGCTTAGTTACGAATAATTTATGATGCCTGTTTATGACTGATTTTCTTCTGTTTTATATATTTCAGAGATGTGTTTTGATGAAGTTTGAAAATAGTGTGATGGTCATCTGAGCAGAATTTCTTGAAGATATATGTCAATAAAGATTTGGGTTGAGGAAGATGGCTGAGCACAAAATGAAAAAAAAGTACACTGTAATATTTATATACGCAGTTATTCGCCTTGCTAAAACAGAGGGGAGTTATATATTGTCCAATCGACAGTGTCTAATCCACCAACCAAAACGCAAGATTCACAAGCATGTTACAATGCTGTGTCGATACTGTTTTTTTCCCTGTCTCGGAAGTGGTGTTTGGTAGCTATGTTTTTAGGACAATTGTGATACTTAAGTGAATGGTGAACTTTGTGTCGTAAGGTGAAGACTGTGATTAACTTTATAGTGAACTTTAAAGTGAACTTTAATTTCGTGAAAACCCATGCTTTCTAACATGGCGGATCTCCATAGACATCGTGAACTCTGTGAACTGTGAACCATGAACTGTGAATTCCGTGACTCGTGAACTCTAATTATTGAATTAGAACTGTCAACAAAGAAAGCTGTCAACTTGTTTATGTTTGTACTGTAACTCCTGTTTCTTGTATATGTTTATTTACATAAATATTCATTAATATTTCAAAGCCTTATCATTTCATTCAAGTGTTATCCAGTGATTTGATCGACTGTTGTCCTGTCAATTTGGTTTGCCAGCCCACTCCAAATAAACACGTCGTGTGGAGAGGGTTAACATCTTTTTTACCTACAACACCGCAGCATGCCAAGATTAGATTTGGGTAATCTTTTACTTCTTCACACTCTGGTCAAAATTGGTCAACCTGTGATCAGTAGATTTGAGTGGATATGGGAAAGCACAATAAATGAATAGGTACAAGCCTAAGTTCATATATTTTAGCCTGTCTCTGCATATGTGCATTCTTAGACTATCGTTGCTAATAATTCAGACTCAGAATTTTGTCGAACATCAACTCAATATAAATACTGTATTTATAACATATCGTCTTGTCATTTGTTCTATTACTCAGCCTTTAGTAGTTACGTATTGCACATACTTCTGGGTGGTCTAAAATGAGATATTTCAAGAAACACATTTTCTTGCACAAGATTTTAGGGTGGTCTAATAAGCAACTGTGAGGAACACATTTTCTTGCGCATGATTTTTGGGTGGTCGATTAAGCAACTGTGCAGAACACATTTTATTGCGCAAGATTTTAGGGTGGTCTTTCTTATAAATGATGGTGCATTTTTTTTTACGCAAGATTTTAATGGGTGGTCTAATAAGCAACTGTGAGGAACACATTTTCTTGCGCATGATTTTTGGGTGGTCAATTAAGCAACTGTGCAGAACACATTTTATTGCGCAAGATTTTAGGGTGGTCTTTCTTATAAATGATGGTGCATTTTTTTTTACGCAAGATTTTAATGGGTGGGTGGTCTACCCAGGTCCAGTGCATATTTTTCGACTTGACGTATGATGTTTTTTTTACTACTGCCCCCCGTGTCATCCAAGCTTTGCGATTGGCCGACCAATTGACTGGCAGGTTGATCTTGTCCACTCCCTTAAAACATCTCGGGTTTACTGCTTTACCGATCAAAGTAATCAACACAGACCGGCGCTTGCGAGTTTTAATCTCACCGATAATTGATTGGTGATTGCTTGTTAATCTTTTCTGGCTTCACACCCATTGAGTTTTAATCTCACCGATAATTGGATGCTTCACACCCACCGTTTGAAGTAGGGATTATACGGTGTCGATTCAATGGAAATTATGTGACGGGATGGCTGATTAATGTCGGAATCCGGAACATACAGAATTCGGATTTACCAGCGATTTTTTGGCTGAAGTAATAAGGAAATAAATCGGGACATAAAAATCATGTCGGATGTCACAACAATCCGGAGTGATCAGAGATCGGATGAGTCCACTGTATACGCAATTATAAACTGTAACAACAAACCAGGCTTCATTTATTAACGATACAGGCAACAGCAGTAAGAAAAGGATAAAACCGACGTCATAATTCAATAATCCCAAACAAATCGAACAAGTATTATTCACAGTGTCCGCCATTTTGAATATATAGAAACCGTCAAAAAAGTCACCGATTCGTATTTGAAGATAAATAATTAAATCTTTTGTCTCTTAATTAGTTTATTACTACTCTTACTGTGAATACTAATCAACACTAATCCGAGATTGATCAAGAGACAAAAGATATCTCTATTAATGGCACCTAATTGATTGATAACTGACTCAGCCAAGCGCAATAGACTGTAACGTGTATGCACGTGGAAATCAAATCTTTTTGGCAAGAAAAATTTATCGCCACGATTAAAAAAGAATCGCCATACAGGAAAAAGTTATCGCAAAAATTCCCCCAGATTGAATATTTTATCGCCAAAATTATGCTTTTATCGCAATTGGCGCCAATGGTGATTGACAGCAACGAGGGCTGATTACAGATTATGAATGTGTTTTTGTTTTTTTAAAAACAACACTGTGATTAACCTTGCAGTGATTTAGATATTTTAAAATGTTATATATTTCATATCCATATTTTCGAAATTGTAAATTAGATTTGAATTAGTCTTTGTATATTTTTCAGGACAGATAATCCTAGGATTAAATGCAGTGGATGAAAATTGGTGGAAGGGGTCTTTGGACAATAAGACAGGAATTTTCCCCAAAACCTTTGTTAAAGATTTACCGTTTTTACCTAGTGAACAAAATGGTAGTTCAGTATCTAATTACCATGATCTTACATACAGTAAACCAAAATCTGATAGTTCTGCTCATTCACAAGTGCCTTTCACAGTTACAGCTTTAGTTGATGTTACACCTCAATTAGATGGTGAATTGGGTTTTAAAGCTGGTGATGTAGTGACAGTTGTAGAGTTTGTTGATGATGATTGGTTCAAAGGTCAGTTAAGTGGAAAAGAGGGTCTTGTTATGTCAATCTGTGTTGATTTACCACATAATTTCAAATCATCTTCTAAAACAAATACCCTGTATTCTTATCTTACTACAGATACTGAGCCATACACTGAAGCTTATACCAAAAAATACACTGAGTCTTATACCCAGAAATCTAATACCCAACTATATAAACCAAATACAGAATCACATGATAAGCCTTATATCAAACCTAGTATGGAGCTTCCACGTACTGCCGATTGTTATGGATATGCCCTCGATTCCAACGATAATGTTTATGCTCAATTAGATGCTTATATTGAAACTGATGGTAAAGCTGGACTTTATTCTTACACAAGCGAAAATACGCGATCTGCAGACGTTGTTATTACACCTTATGCTAGAGTTCTATATCCTTTCCTGTCTCAATCTAAAGAAGAGTTGTCCATCAATGAAAATGACATTGTTATGCTAATACAACATGTTGATCCTGATTGGATAGAAGGAGAAATTGATGGTAGATTTGGACTATTTCCAACTACTTATGTAGAAATTATTGTGGACTGTCCGTACGCTTATTATCAAAATGATGTTCAGAAGACAAAAGAACAAAGCGAAACTGAAAGTAAAAATAGTTCAACTAATTCTGTCAAAAATGAATCAATTGAAGAATTAAATGTGCCCTGTGCTAATGTTGAAGAAGCTAAAGAGCACATACAAATGATGTCAGGTCAAAGAGAAAGTGAAAATCAGTTGCAAAACGTTGGGGAGACAATCACAGTGTTAAAGAGGTATGAAGATAATTCGCTGGAAGCTAAAGGTAAAAATGGTAATATAGGCATGGTACCTTCTAACAGTTTAGACTCAAATAAAAAATCTTCACCTTGTGCAATAAATTATAGACATAGTGATACTATTAATAATAATCGAAAAAATATTTTTGAAGACTGTTCTAATAGCAAGTCTAGTTTAATTGCTGAAGAAACAGACACAAAATGTTCTGTGGAAATTGTAAAACTTGATGCCATTCATACTGAATCATTGAATGCTGATGATACATCTGTTCATACAGAAACCTCAATTGCGAGTCTGACTAGTTCATCCACTGTGAAATATACTGATACATCAACTGATTCATCAAAGCACCCTACACTAATCCCTCCTGCAAAACCCAAATTAGCTCCAAAACCAGTTGTTAAGCCCATACTTGTACTAACATGTAAACCCAATTATTCTCCCACCCAGAAAGTCTTTCCTAAAATCAAAACCAGTATGTCATTGGATTCCATTATAACTGACGAACTTAATAAGGCTAAGGGTGATCTTAAAAGGAAACCAGCAGAAGCTAATGAATCAAACACTGAAATGAATCGTTCACTAACCATACCTAACAATACACCACCAGAGTTTCAACCTCCTCCGATCACTGGGATTCGAGAGGAGTCGACGAGACTCATTAAACCTTTACAAACAGAACAAACTTCACAGTGCAATAACTTTTCTGAAAGGTTTTCTTTAAATCAGGAAGAAATTAATGTCTTCATGAGTCCATCGAAATCAGAACCTGTTGGCTCGAAACCACCATGTCCCACATCTGTAAGGTTTGGCCTATCTAGTTTTTATGTAAATGATGCGTTTATGACTGAAAATAACACAACTGACAAAATTAGAAACAATTTTAATAGACCTAAATCTAGATCTTTAAAAAATGTGTCTACAAAAAATCCCCCGCGACCTAATGGACCTTTGAAACCTAATATGAAGCCAAGACCCCTGCCTTCCCGTCCCGCACCTATCGCTCCTGGCCGACGTATAACGCCAACACGACCAGCTCCTCCTAGACCAACTGGTTCCATGCGACATAAGAAACAGATGCCTTTGTCTCAATCCAATTTACCAACTACTGACCTTATGACCTTCAGCCCAGAAGAAGAAGCAGGTAAATACATCTATTATTTTGGAATGTTTCAAATAAATTAATTATAGCTAGTACAGACGCTTATTTTTAAACTAGTTCATAATCGCTGGGGTTTTTAAGACAGCATCGTGTTGCGTTCACACGTACTATAAGCCAAACCAGTTTAGTAATTCTGACCTCTTCGATCGGAGGTTAGAGTTAACTACGCATGGGTAGCTTATTCAGTTCTCGCACGCTTTCGATAACATTGGCACTGTCTGACCCCGATATTTTTACTGGAATGTAACTAACTGCGTACTGCGCATGCTCAAAGCAAGCTGGAGCCAGGGTTTTTAAGCCAACCCATTCAGACGTCTAAGATGAACCAGTTTAAAACAAAAAGCCTTCTTGAAAACAGGTCGCGAGTTGGGGTTTTTAAACTGGTTTATTTGTCCCACATTTGCGTTCAGACACTTAAGTTAAACTGGTTTAACGATCCCCAGGGTTTTTAAACCAGTTCAACTTGAGCGTCTGAATGGGGTATTAAATTATCTGCTGTGTTCCTTTCCTGCTTTCTTTAAAGTCAAAGATGCATTATGTAAGATTAAGTTTAAAACTGTTCTTGCTATAATACAATAGTTTAATAATAGATAATAAAGAATGTATATATTGAACATTTCTGTCAAATTACTATATTCTGTGCGAGGTAATACATATTAGAAGTTTTGACAAGATTAGCCTAAATAGTCTCAATTGTCAAATACCATTGCTAGGATAATAATCAAAGGCTCAGTTTTCCATTCTAATGTTAAATTATTAGACACTGCAGGCGTTCTAATCCATTTAATATCTGGGCCATCTGATGACCTAAAGAGTTGATTATGGCTTGTCATGTAAATAAATGTCAAAATAATAATTTATTTCACATTTGAAGCCAGAAAAAAGACCTACTATAGGCAGATTTAGCTCTGACATAATGCTTTTTATACGCCCACATTTTCATCAGGACTTATATTGTCGTCGCCCCTGTCCGTCCGAACGTCCACAATTTGTTTGTGGACACTCTACAGGTCACAATTCTTATCCGATTTTGATAAAACTTGAAATATAGGTTTATCTCCATAAGATCTCGGCTGCTTTCGATATTGGCATGTATCGAATCGAAACTTCATGGATTATGGTCCTTGTTTGTACGAAAAATCACGTTTTTAGCTTGTGGACCCTATAGGGGACAAAATTTTTATCCGATTTTGTTGAAACTTCAAATGTAAGTTTATAACCCAAAGATCTCGGTTCCTTTCTATATTCGCGCATATCGGACCATAACTTTCTGAATTATAGCCCCTGATTGTACGAAAAATCGCGTTTTTAGCTTGTGGACCCTATAGAAGTCGTAATTTTTATCCCATTTAAAAAAAACGAATTATTATATCAGCGTTACACCCTAAGGACACTGAGTTCGAATTTCGTTAAAATCGGCCCAAAATTGACAGACAGAATGGCCGCCGTTCGTTCTCAAATAGCGTAAAAATATGGTATAGCAAGGTTGTGGACCATATGGAGGTCACAATTTTTATCCGATTTTGTTGAACCTTGAAATGTAAGTTTATAACCCAAAGATCTAGGGTTTCTTTCGATATTTGCGCATATCGGACCGTAACTTCCTGAATTATATCCCCTGATAGTACGAAAAAAACATGTTTTTAGCTTGTGGACCCTATAGAGGTCATTATTTTTATCTGATTTAAAAAAACGTATTATTATATCACCTTTACACCCTAAGGACAACTGAGTTCGAATTTCGTTGAAATCGGCCCAAAATTGACAGACAAAATGGCCGCCGTTCGTTCTCAAATAGTGTAAAAATATGGTATATCAAGGTTGTGGACCCTATAGAGGTCACAATTTTTATCCGATTTTGTTGAAACTTGATATGTAAGTTTATAACCCAAAGATCTCGGTTCCTTTAGATATTCGTGCATATCGGACCATAACTTCCTGAATTATGGCCCCTGATTGTACGAAAAATACCGTATTTTTCGGTGTATAAGGCGCACTTTTTTTACCAGGTATTTTCTAGAAGGGGTGCGCCTAATACATAGTATTAAGCAAATCTTGGCTTTTCTGTGTGTCAACATCGAGGTCTGAAGTTGGATCATATCGACAACAGCAATAAAGATAGCAGCCATTTCACATACCGCTATCCCGTATACCGTTAGTCATAAACGACAGTGCCAACAATATGGGTCGATAGCGGTTTAGTGTTTTTAAAATATCTGCAAAGTTATCGTAAATAATTATGTTATTCCTAAATATACTATTCAAAAAAAGTAGGGGATATTTGATTTTTAAGTGTTATTAAAGTCACCTAATGAAACTGACGAAGAAACAAATGACAAAATGAAATGAAGTTCACATTCATCGATTTATTCCAAATGATCGTTAGACTAAGTAAGGCACAGACTGACCATTATAAGGGTAAAATGATACCCGGGGTCAAACAGCAAAGTTACCACAGCATCACAACCAAGTCAGTAACGGGTAAATCCTCCTCTGTTTGCCAAACAAGCATTGATCCGACGTGGCATACTCCTAATGAGACGTCTAAGGTCATTTTGGTCCAGATTGTCCCATTCCTGTTGCAACGCAGCAGCAAGTTCTTGGACATTGGCAGGACGTTGTTGACGTTGACGTAACCTCTGTCCAAGCATGTCCCAGACATGCTCGATGGGGGAGAGGTCGGGACTCAGTGCTGGCCAAGGTAATGTGGTGATGTTCTGTTGTTGGAGGTAACCTGTAACGATCCTGGCCCTGTGACATCTTGCGTTGTCATCCTGGAAGATGAAACGGCGGCCATGACATCGTGCGAACGGCACAACATGGACTGCCAAGATGTTGTCCCGGTAGTACTGGCCTGTAACACGCCCTGCAACAACATGTAAAGCCGTTCTTCCAGCAACAGTGATGCCTCCCCACACCATAACAGAACCACCCCCAAATCGATCATGTCTGATGACGTTAACGTCTTGGAAGCGCTCGTTTCGACGACGCCACACCCTCCTACGTCTGTCAAAAAAATCAACAGTGAACCTTGACTCATCTGAAAACATCACATTGCTCCAGCGTCGATTATCCCAGTGTTGACGATCCCTACACCAACGACGTCTTGCCTGAATGTGATGATCTCTCAAACAAGGGATCACGCGAGGACGTCAGGCGCGAAGGTGACCCCTATGCAGTCGATTCCGAATCGTCTGGCCACTCACTCTCACACCAGTGTCTGTTTGAAGACGAGCGCTGATCTGATTTGCTGTGATGACACGATTTCTCAAGGCCACGGTACGGATAAATCGATCCTGGGCTTGAGTTGTCGCCCTTGGTCGACCTGAGCGTGGTCTGTCCTGTACAGATTGTGTATCACGGTATCTGGACCATAGCCTGCTTATGACAGACTGAGAAACATTCATCGTCCGCGCCACAACCGCCTGTGTTGTGCCGATCTGTAGCGTGCCAAGGGCACGTAACCTTTCATTTTGGGTAAGCCGACACATATCAAAATTTGTTTTCTGGTCACTAAAACAATTAAACTGATGTTTCCACCCTGGAATTCAAGGCCACAATGACTGTAACATTCAAAGTCAGAGTCATGCAAATCTTGGGTTGGACCCCCATGATGATCCCAAGCATCACCTGCATTCCATGCGGTAGCTATTGGTGCGTTTGGGCGTCACATGTAACTGGAAATGTTTCTTCTGTTAGGTTCTATAGTGACTTTTTTCGTAGTCATTTGCATATTTTAGTATTATGCCCCCAAAATCAAATATCCCCTACTTTTTTTGAATAGTATATTAGATGACATATATTTCTGCTATTCCGACATTCCTATGTCGTCATTTTTCGTGCAATAAAAATGGCGGCCACTTAAGATACCGGCTTTTCCGTATACCGTTAATCATAAACGACAGTGCTAACAATATCTGCAAAATTCTCGTTAATATTTCTATTATTCCTGCGTATTTGATGACATATATTTCTGCTAACCCGTATACCGTTAAACATAAACGACTGTGCTAACAATATCTGCAAAATTCTCGTTAATATTTCTATTATTCCTGCGTATTTGATGACATATATTTCTGCTAATCCGTATACCGTTAATCATAAACGACTGTGCTAACAATATCTGCAAAATTCTCGTTAATATTTCTATTATTCCTGCGTATTTGATGACATACATTTCTGCTTATCCGTATACCGTTAATCATAAACGACTGTGCTAACAATATCTGCAAAATTCTCGTTAATATTTCTATTATTCCTGCGTATTTGATGACATATATTTCTGCTAATCCGTTTAATGTGTACCAGTACTGTTAGCCATTGTCGGCAATCCAAACAGTGTGTCGTCAACGGTGATATCAGTCAAGTTGACGAAAAGGCAGGGCTTACGACAGACAAGAGTTTTCATTGGCTTTTAAGCCATCGAGTAAAATATATCTTAATGACATAAAAATTAACACAAGTATAATAAAAACAAACAGGTTCACCAGTATAGCACAGCATAGTTATTGGCACAGTATAGATATAATAAAATATGGATATAATCAAAACAAAACATACAGCTTCTTCATTTGACCATGTGTTTTACGCAGGTCTTTGTATAATTAAAGACAGGTCTTTAGAAAGTGTGCTCGCTATGATCTACGTTTCTTTTATGTGTCTTTTGTATTGTGTACATATATATAAAGTTGAATTTAATGAAATAAAAATACGGACCTTAATCTATCGTATACAGAAAGGCGAATGTAATGTCGTCATTTATAAATACCCAGCAGTCAGCGCCCAATTTGAATATCCACAGGAATATAGAGAGTAAATCCAGCAAAAACAACAGAAATATATTTCTGCTTTATTACTAAAAAGATGCGCACTCACCGTTTGACATTTATTAAATTTATAAAAACGTGACACGTTGCGTAAATTGTGCATCTTACCTTCAATAGCAATATCCATAAAACAGAAATCTCCATATTGATAAATAA